AAATCCAACTTTTCCAATTTTTTAACCACTTTTAGTTGCATTGCTTGGATATTGCGAACAAAACTTTATGTTTTAAACACTTTTGCAATCTGTTAATCAAGCTTACATGCAATTGTCGAAATGTTGTAAAAAACTTTTGTGCAAATATCAAAATTTTCTAAAGAACTTCTAATCTAGCAATTAAGTTAATGTATCTGGAATATTAAACTACTCCCATTATAAAAGGAGCTAGGATCAATCATTCGGACGATTAGTTACCAAATCCAAAAAGCTCGTACAGTTATTCAATCCGACGATTCCCGCAGTCACTCAATTCAGTAACTCCCGCAGTTTCGCAATCTGACAACTCGTTGAGTTACTCAATTGGACAACTCGCGCAATCACTCAAGGAGACAGCACAATCAGGCCCTCAACCACGACAATGATTCAATGACAGAGAAGCGACAATACGACAGTTCTACAGCACGAGCGACAAGATTATTTCATATTCTTTAATACTTATTATGTATTATTCATTTCCTCCCCATTATTATTTCAGTACGATATTGTATCATATTGTATAAGACCAATAAAGGTTACTGTCAACGCTGCGAAGTTAAAATAACGAAAATCTACAAAATCATTTCCGGACAATTACTTTTTTATTTGCCTTTTTTTTTGTTTTTTTGGTACCATGAGCCAAGAAGATGACATCAACGATACTAGTAAGTGTTATCTCGAGAAAAAGAAGATCCTAAAGTTGCTCGACGACATGCAAGAAATGAACTGGAGACCAATCGACCAAAACATATTAAATGAACATTGTGAACAGTACGAAAATCATAGGAGGATGAATGTTGACCAAGTGAAAAGAATTGAATTATATGTTGGAACGCTCGTGAGTTCAACGATAAATAGCTAGAATGCCTGCAAATCTCATCACAACGACAAAAGGGAGAGGAAAAGAAATATGCGGAGGTGGTGGAAGATGGCAGCGAATATTGAACTTGATAAATGAAGGAAATGAAAACCTTGGCCACATATAATAAGGATGCTGAAACCTCGATAAAACGAATACGAAGGACATGAAGGAAGTACTCGAATCAGAAGGCCCAAGGCGATCTTCTCGAAGAAAATTCTCGAAAAAAGACGAGATGATCTAGACGGCTCACCAACCAACAGTAAACTTATTCAACTATTACTGAAATTATTCAGTGTAGATCCTCGAAAGTGAAGATAATAATTTTAGAGCAACTTCAAGGAAGCAGGGCATAAGCAAGACCTCCAGAGATACAAAAATTAAGTTACTTAGTTTCCTGCTTGAAAGGAAAAGCCTCAAAGGCAGGATGTGGGTACCTGCAAAAAAACTACAGTATTTTGAGATGAATACTGATGGCGAGATTGGTAACACATCGGCGATCAAGAATTTGCTATACAGCGAATTCCAAGATATCAGAAGAAATGATCGCAATTGGATAAAAGCAATCAAAGCGATTGAACGAGTTCTTCGAAATAGAAGCCATAGAAGAAAAATTGTACCACTCGAGTATGGAAACGACTATTGAAAGAAAATTACCACGATGAATTTTAAATATGTACGAGCAAAAACAGGAAAACGAGTATCGGCTAATCGACAAACTTGGAATCATGGATTCGAGATGTGAGGAAAAACTAATGCACGAAAACACAAAATGCAGCTCAGGGCGACAGTAAAAAGCGAAACCTTACCTTAACAGCAGCAAAACGGTGAGGATCAAAGGATAATAGCATCTCAAAGAAGCCGAGAAAAAGAGTCCAAACAAAAACTAAATCTTGTTCATTGTGCAACAAGGATCATTAGGATGACAAATATCTAGTCTATCCCACCGCGAAGCAATAAATGAAACTTTTGAGAGAAATCGATGCATGCCTAAATTGTCTACAAAAGGACTATACAGAAGGAAATTGTCCAAAACTTAGAAAACAATGTATTCATTGTAGAGGTCGGCACAAATCAGTGCGTAGCGGTCATCTCAAGGATATTAAATACAAACTGAATAAGGGATGGAATCAACAGTAACGAACAACACAATAGCTGATCAAAGATGACCAGAAGCTAAAAGAATTTTACTTCTGTGTAAAGAAATAAGAGTTACAAATTCGCAAGCCCCGGAAATTCAAAATGAAGCTTTGGAAGTACTTGATGTAGGCACGCGATTATCATTCATTTCAACAAATTTGATAAATCGGCTAAAACTTCGAGAAATAGAAAGTGGAAAATTCAGTACTGCTTTATTTGATAATGAAACATCGAAGAAATGTTACTTAAGGAAGTCAGAGATTGGTATAAAAATCGGGAAAAAAGATATCATAACTTGAAAAGTTAACCTTATGGGATACTTCACGAATAAATTGGAAGTGACGGAAATCAATGATCAGCACGTAAATGCTATAATGAAAAACAGGGAATTAGATGGAATAAATCAGCTATGACATGTACGGCTAATGTAACAAGCCATTGCTAACCAGTTCTGGAAGTTAGAACTTATGCGTATCCAGGACCTACCGAACGAAGACGATAACGAGTAAGCTCTCGAGCAATTTAAGAAAAAAATAACAAAAAGGAACAGAAGGTACCAAGTTTACTGGCCTTGGAAGGAATCTAGGCAAACTGAAAAATCATTTTAAATAAACTTCGGGCGTCTTGAAACGCTCTTCAAAAGGATTCATAATAATGAACAAATACTTCAACGATATGACGAAATAATTCAGAACCGACTGGTGTCAGGGATAATTAAAGTTTATCTTGACATAAATCAAGAAGGTATAATTTACTATTTGCCTCATCATGATGTCATATCCTCCAATAAACCTATAACGAAATTCAGCTTCTGCACATATCAAAGGAACGAAGACGTCGAACGAAGTCTTATACCGTGAACCCATAATGCTTTTAAATTTAGTAGGAATACTACTGCGTCTTCGAATGATGAAAAATATAATTAAAGCCACGTAGAGAAGGCGTTTTTGCAAATGGAACTACATCCTTCCGACAAGAACTGTACCAGATTCCTCTGGTTAAGGAATATTCAATGTGCATTTACCAAAGAGAACCTCAAATGTTATTGTTTTAGGAGCAATATTGTCACCGTCTTTATCAGCAACGCTCAATCTCATCTAGAAACCAACGGAAGCCAGATAAGCTGGAAATCAGAAGAAATTTATACGTGGACAATGTTATATTATCAACAAATGGAAAAAGAGAAGCACTGAAGAAATATCACGAAGTATCTTTGATGAAGTAACTATGAATATTCGCGAGTTCCTTTCTAATGACGAAAATTTCAATAAAACAATCCAGAATACGATCAAATCGAGGAAGGGTGCCACGAAAATTCTTGGGATTACTTGGATAAACGATAAAGATACAGTCAGAGTGACACAAAAAACCATATATGGATCGAGAGCGCTCACCAAAAAGAACCTCGTGCAACCTCGTGCAGTTGCTTCTCAATATCGATCCCTTAGAATACCCCACGATAATCCAGTTCAAACTGTTTTCCTAAAATTTATGGAAGGAAAATAATTCTTAGGATCAAGTCCTCGGCGAAAGCGATAAAGAAAAATGAAAAACCCTCGTAAAGGAATGGCCAACATACGTTTCTATATATTTCAATATATATATATATATATTTCAATAATATATTTATTGAAATATATTATTGAAATATCAATCAATAATCATCAATCAATAATCAATATCAATCAATAACGTTGAAATATCGAGACTAATAACCAACTTCTCAGAGCAACAACAACATGTTTTCACCGACACCTCAACTGTTATATTCAGCAGCATTTTGAACAAATATGCGAACAGAAGCAACACAGTATTACTTTTCCTTAAATCAAACCTTGCTCTGATTGAAGGCATGATTTGCCACGACTGGAATTACTTGCAACACTAACTGGTGTAGGAGTTGTCAAATTTTGAAAGAAATGGAAGTTAAAGTAAAACTGCTTGTTGATAGAGATAGAGCCAGGAAATTCCTAGTTACATGTTCCAGTGGTTAAAATTTAACAAATTAATGATGAAGAAGTTAAAATTTCCTTTACGTTCATATTCTATTTATCATTCAGTTTGAAATGCACTTTTTCCTTTTTATATCAATTTTATTTTTTTAAAAACAGGCACTTTTATATTCAGTTCATTTTCCTTATCTTCCTCTCAGTGACTCATTTTTTAACTTATTGATTCAACCATTTATTAAATCAATTTTAATTGAAGAAAACGGCATTTTAGAGCAAAGAACATCATCGAATCATATCAGTAGAGCAGTAGAAAATGAAAAAAGAACCGATATGTATGCAATTTGTACATAGTTCCAAAGATCTGTTTTGCTTTTAACACGCGCAATCCTACACTTTAACCTTTTTGGTAAGAAGTTTTAAGGAATTCTGAAGACGCAAATTTAGAATTATTGTACTTCAAGTTTATTTTTGCCATTAGGAATTCAAAAATGGATTTTAAGTACCAACATAGTGTCGAAATATTTATTACTATGGACCAGGTACTGTTATTTATATTTTCCATCTTTCTGTCTAATAACTATATCAGATTGTTTTCGTTATCCTTTTAAATCATGGAAATCATTATTCGCATTCATAGTTGTTAGTTCGATTACTTGTAACTTGCTCGTAAGATGATCTATTACATTGGTTTCTATTATTATTGCTTCTTCTCTGGTTAGTACTCCAATTTGTATTTTAGGTGACAAATGTGAATTGGGTATTTTATTCCCAAATGAAGCTATTTTGAGTTCCTATTCTTCAGCTTCAGTTAATTTCAGCAAATTTGCCAGTTCTTTCGATATGAATGATAATTGTTAATTAATGTCAAAAAATGCTAGAACTTATCCTTGAAGAACAGATATTTCTGGGTTAAAGACCCTTGCATTTTTGCATTAAAGTATAATTTCTTTATTTGCTTTAGGTATGAGTTTTGTTGTACAAAACCGTTGTCACCTACTTCATTTGCATTTTTTCAATTACGGGGCTAGTGTATTTGTCTACTATCGGCAAGCTTTTTTGATGTAATTGATGG